TGTCGTTGCGCATGATTGGTTGTACTTATTGTTTCCTATTGTGTTTGAGAACCCCTAACAGTTCATGACTTAGTGACCTCGTGCGTCATGAACAGACTTAGTGACATGTGTGAGTATGTTGACTGAGTTTAGGTGGTGAACCCGAGTTAATAGAAATTATGATTGTTGATTTAGACAAACAAGAAGAGTTGGGATGTGGAAGTCCATGTTCATGTGATCGGATATAACTGTTGATGTATTTTCCAGGCTCACCCCATGATCCAGTGTAGCTTGGGGTTAGTTTGTTGGGTCAATGTGAAGCCAGTGTAGTCACTTTGGTCCGTGAATTTGATATTCACCCAGGTTTTGCTTGAGTTCGAACCAGGCTGAAAACGGATTGCGTGTAGCCTTCTGACTGATCTAGTGTAGCGGCGTATTGGGTGCACATAGAAGATTTGTGAACAGTCAGTTATCCGATGATATGAGTGTTAACTCTATGTGAGATGTGGACCAGTGAGTTAAGATAGGTTGGCTAGTTACATGACCTCGATTCTTGGCTAAGTATGATTCTTGTGAGATGTAGATCGGTTGTATTCTTTCATACATAGATCGAGATTAATATTTAATTATCTACAATTTGAGATATATGGTATATACATGAGGGTTTAATATTTAATTATCTACAATTTGAGATATATGGTATATACATGAGGGTTTCCTTGTTTGGATTATTTCGCTCGACGTACTGAGGGTTTCCTTGTTTGGATTATTTCGCTCGACGTACTACGTTTCGAGTTGTAGATTTTTAAGTATTAAATTCATCTAGTGTATGACCTTGTGACTTGGATGATTTCTGATCGCTAGCTGCATGATCGTCTTATTACTTGATTGATTTTATTGGATTTCCCGTTGCATGTTTCTTTATCATTTTTGTTGTTATATCATTTTCGCATTGGGTTTTCATTCGCTCTATTTGTTTTGTGGGGTCTTGTCGTGTGCCATGCACCCTGACGTACATCTATTTTCTCTGGTGTACGTTAGACTTAGAGGAAGAACATGTTCAACAGGAACTAGAGGATCCTCAGCAAGAATGCCTTGTAGACGGAGCAGAAGAAGGAGTTGAAGCTTATTCTTTGATGGTTCTAGTTTACCTTTGTAGTTCTTTCCATTCCTGTTCCTGCTTGAACGATGTATTTTATATCTCTTCAGTATTTATTGTTCAGATATGTATAAGGGCATGTTTGACCCATATATTATGTTTCGGATGTTATCCTATTTGTGATATGATATTTTTATTCTGAATTTGTCTATTATATCCTTGCTGATTGTGATCGGGGACATGTGACTTCACATTGTATTTATTTCCAGACGCTTAGCGTATTGGATTGAGAAGAAAAGAAAAAAAAATGATAGTGTATATTTATTGTCAATCTAATACGTCGCGGACTTGTTCACGTTCCGATTCCCGGGTATTTTGGGAAGCGGGGCGTGACATATATATAGCCCTAAAACCATAGCAGCCAAAAACTAGCCGTTGGCTGGAAAGATCAGTCGACTGATGACGTCATCGGTCGACCGATAAGATGACCGTTGGGCTGAGTTGGAAGATTCTGAAATTTTACGTAGCTGACTATTTAAAATTAATTAAAAATAACAAATCAGCTCCAAAAATCATAAAATTTTAAGGAAAATTTCAACACATATAGATAAACATGATAGAGAAAGAATTTTAGAAATACCACTTCGAATTTGTGAGACATTACTGTTTGAAAATAGATATTCTAGATTCTAATAATTGCTGAACACTTGATTTTGTAAAATCAATTTAACATAGTAAATCAACTCCAAAAATGATAAAATTTTGGAAAATATTTATAAACATGAAATAGAGCATTTTAGAAAAATAATTTCTCAAATTTTATTTCTCATTTGTGAAAGCTCAATTATTTTGTAAACTGTTCAATAATATGAAATCGTCAAACACTTGGTTTTTGATGAAATTCTTTCAAACAAGCTTGAAAATTCTTTTGAATGGATTTTTTTTGATGAAATTCTTTCAAACAAGCTTGAAAATTCTTTTGAATGGATTTATAGACTTATGAAAAGATGTAAAATAGTATTCTTTTGAATGGATTTATAGACTTATGAAAAGATGTAAAATAGTATCACTAAGTCAATAATCCACAAGCACATTATTTTCTCAAAACGATAAACACGTTATTTTCTCAAAATGATGTATAATGCGATAAATATGAAACATGTGCAAGAATACAAATATATGTATTTGTTTCATATTTATATGGCTAAAACACATCTTTTAAAGTATTTATATGGCTAAACATATCTTTTTGCAAAGTGAAATAACCAATGAAAGCCATATAATGAAACAACGTGTATGTGTATATATTTGAGGTTTAAGCATGACAAATAAAGTAAACACCTAAACTAAAAATATAACCAAGCTAATGATCTCTCGTTGAAGCTCAATCTTGGTAGCGGGAATAAAGCTTGATGATGTGTTGACTTAAATGCATAGCTTCATTCCTATTTCCTCCAACCCCCAAAAGGATGTGATCGTGTAGGCGCAAGTCTAACCAACCTCCGACTGAGGATATTTGTGTAGATTACCTAACAAAAACAAATGCAGACACTCGACACATGATGTTAGAAATTGTTTGTTAATCATCAAAAGTAGATTAGACAATAGGCTCATAAATATGAGATCTAACAACCATTAGACATCAATATTTATAGATTATAATCAATTAATGTTAAGCTATTATATTATAGTATTTTATTAATTTTTTGTGATTTAGTCTTCTATCAATTAATGATACTTATGTATTTTTGCTGCTCTAATATAGTGGTAAAATTATATGCAGTTACTTTAATTTATACACTAACATTAATTTTAAATCTATCATATATATTTTTTAAATTTTTAATTTTTAACTGGATATTTTTAATCTGTTATTATCACTATTTTTTTACTAGTATCAACTTGACTATTTTCAGATTCTGAAAAGGGATAGTAAACTTTAAATTAAAAGTTATATTTATATATCTTAATGAAATAATATCACATAATTATTCTTTTCTTTGCCAAGTTCTAAATTTTTAGTTTTTTTGTGCAATTTTAAACTTTTGAGAGTATTTTGTCTAATTTTTAAAACTTTTTGTTTTTTTATAATATTTCATGTAATAAGCTGATATTACAGAGCTGTTTCATATATTTTATTAATTTTTTAAAATTATTGAGCTATAGATAGTTCATGAGGTATTAGAATATGATATAAGTATGATTAGGACAGAATATAATTTAAATTAAATATTTAAAATAGTACATGATAATGTTGATTATAGAAAGCTTTTTCCAAACTCGTGCTTTTAAAGTTTTTCTTAATTTTTCTTTTTTTATAATTTTGAGAATGACTTTTATCTCTTTAATTTGTTTGGTGGATTTTGTAAATATTCCATCTGCATTATGTACATTTGTAGGCCTATGTTGTTTCCGGGTTTGACCTTTGGGGTAGACATTATTGGTCTCATTAATTTATTTAGTTTTTGCATATAAGCCCTTCATTTGTAGACATTTATAAATTTGGCATTTAATAATTTTATTTATATTTACATTTTAATTTAAACTGTATCATTATCTTCATATTATATATATCCAATAAGAATTCATTAATTTATCAACTTACTCTTACTTAGGGCCCGTTTAGATAATGGAAGTATTGAAAGTAAGTAGTAGATTATAGAAGTAACTTTCAAAACTATGAAGTAGAAAGTAGTAGAAATATCATTTTTTTGTTTGTTTCATATATTTTTAGAAGTAATGGAAGTAGAACTTCTTCCTATTTATTTACTTTTTTGTTTGGATAACATTTAGAAATATTACTAGGAAGTAATTTTATCAATGAAAAGTTATTAGAAGTAACTAATAAAGGAAATATTAATAAAAAATTATTTATTTTCTAATTAATATGCATTTCAACTACTTCCGAGCTATTTCTGAGTACTGAGGATTGGAAAATTTTTTTGGAAGTAAGGATGACACGTAGGCGCCACATAAGCGTTTATGAAGTATTAGAAATAAGTTTTTCAGAAAACCAAACATACTTTTTTGCTTGGAAGTAGCAGAAATAACCTCTATTTCTTTTACTTCAGCTACTTCATAATTACTTCCGTGCAAACAAACATGCTCTTAATGGAATAATATTTGAATTGTGAGAATATTTTTGTCTACTAAAAGATTTTTTCGAACTCTTGCTTTTAAAGAGGAGTAAGTATGATGAACAATTTTTCAAAATAGGCCGATTTAGTTTTTTATTTTTCAAAATAGACCCTTTTTTTATTTATCAAAATCGACCCGGTTTTGTGATTAGCAGGCTAATCACTATCCTAAATAGTCGGGGTTGCCAACCTCGACTAATTATGACATTAATTTTTAGAGTTTAAAGCCTTTAATTAGGGTTTAACACCCTCCTAAATAGTCGGGGTTGGCAACCCCGACTATTTAGGATAGTGATTAACCTGCTGATCACAAAACCGGGTCGATTTTGATAAATAAAAAAAAACAGTCGATTTTGAAAAATAAAAAGCTAAATCGGCCTGTTTTGAAAAATTATTCTAAGTATGATATGATTATTATCGCAATATATAGATTCATCCTCTTTAATACTTTAAATAGGTAAATCCCAAATTAACAATGAATGGTGATTTCCAAATTGTTAACTTTCAAAAAGATTCATGCTTATTTACCGCAAGAGACGGAGGCTTTGGCTCTGTGCCAGCCACACTCTCGCTCACGTGGCAATTTTCAGGCCGCGATTATTTCTTCCACAAAAACTTCCCAAAAGGCGGCCAAGTGGCCAACCCTTCTAGAAAAAATCCAATATCCCCAAAACACCCTTATAAAGTATGGAAAACTCTTCCCACAAGCAAGCAAATGTGTCGTAATTTCAGTTTAAAAATGCTGCACAATTTGGTCATTTGAGGATTTAAATATTATTAAGGGCCCTGCAAAGCTTCGAAGCGATTCGAGCATTTTGAAGAGGAGGAGGAAACCCTAACCCTAGATCTTAGAAGCTCTCTCTCTGATCTCTAATGGCGACGTTTGCTGATGCTCCCGCTGGCAATCCCAAGGCTGGAGAGAAGATTTTCAAGACCAAGTGCGCTCAGTGTCACACCGTCGACAAAGGCGCCGGCCATAAGCAAGGTTTGTGATCTCTTATGATCCGATGCGATCCGATCCGATTTTTGATTCGATCTCTTCGTATTTTGTTCTTTGTGATTGTGGTCTGATGTATTTTTTACTGGGTCTTTATATATTTTGATTGATTTACCTGAGATCTGAGGATTTCACTGGATACGATACCAGATTCATTTTGCCTATATGTTGTCTAAGGGTTTTTCTTTCCAAATATTAGTCCGTTAAATCTTAGGTATTTTGAAATTAGTCGCTCAAATCAGTGAAATTGTTATTAGGTGCCCTTATTCTTGTAATTCGTTTCAAATTTATCCATTCAGCCAAGAGTACCATTAGCAAGAGATCAGAATTTGGGGACCTAATGGAATTTCACTGATTTGAGGGATTAATTCAAGGGAGTAATTATCTTAAAAACCCTGTTGTACTTGCTTCAACTTCATATTTCAGTTTGATTTCAGGTACTTGGGCTTTTTATTCATTTATTTATGTGGATTTAATTTTTAGGGTGGAACTTTCTAATTATATTTAGTTTTGTAACTCTTATAGGTCCCAACTTGAATGGGCTTTTTGGGAGGCAATCAGGTACCACAGCTGGATATTCATACTCCGCTGCAAACAAGAGCATGGCTGTAACTTGGGAAGAAAATACTTTGTATGATTACCTGCTCAACCCTAAGAAGGTATTCCCCCCCTCCATTTTGATGCTGAGAAATTATGTTGTTTGGTTGAACTAGTTGTGTGGTCATGTTTGAGTGAAGCGATTATAAGTTTCTATTTTCCCTATCGTTCCTTAGTTTTGCTATGGGGTTAGTTGTCTCCTATTGATTTTCCAATCCTTGTTTTATTTGAATTTCTGGGGAGGTGAAAGCAGTTGTTTCTGTTTGTAATATATATTTAAGCATATGTTTCTCATTGTAGTTTGCCCCCCATTGCTTTGAAGTGGATGACTGGTATACAGTATAAAAATATAAATTTCTAGTTTAAAGTACGTGGGTAAAATGTTTACTTTTGAACTGGAGCTGATCAGTATAAATTATAAACAGAGAAATATATTTGAAATTTTATATTTTAATATAAGGTTTAGTTTGGCCTGGTTTTTTATATTAATCTGGGACATGATTTTTTATTCTTCAGAGGCTTTATAGTGTATACAATCGAATAACCAGTACAGTTTTGTATGCAAAATATGTACACATCTAGTTGTCTATCTTTGACTTATATAATGTGTGAATTCTGTATATCAAACAGTAATGTGAATATTATTTATCAAAGAGGGATTTTAACCATTGAATAGCGAGCATACGAGTGGTAGGCACTCAGTTTCAATTTTTTTATCTTACTGTTCATAACATGAGTAGCAAAGAATATTATGAAAAAATGTTTTTATAAATAGATAGATAGAGTTCCAATCAAGTGTCATATATATGTGTGCATGTGTGTGTCTGTGTGTTAGAGTGCGTGCGTGTCTGAAGAACAGTATAAATTCAGAAATATGTCGAGCTTTGGTTTCTCTGAGACTTATGTCAAATTAAGAGTAATTGAATTAGAATAAATGGAGCAGATCTTTTTTTATTTTGGGGGTTCGTAGATCTTTCCTCGTACTAAGGGGGGATAGTCGCTTCACACCTGGCATCCCTTGGTTTACGCTATACTCTACCCGGGAATGATTCTATTAAAGGGAAGATGTTAATGTCTGATTATTTAACTCCATACATCATTAACCTCTTCTAAGGTATGATCCTTTTTTTGAACGGGCCTTATTGGGGAACAATAAAAAAATTTGATTCACGTGCAATCATGAATGATTTAATAACTTCCATGTCAGATTTCGTAAAAATGTTTTGGATAAATAAGATTTATGGTCTATTTTATAATAATTCTCAAGAATTGGAACATCAAAAGAATAGATTCGACTTTGGTGGGGAATTATTATTGAATTTGAATTCGATTGGGAATTTTTTTACCTCAAACGACAAATTATCTTTTGAACGCGCATGAAGTGTTGATTCAGAAAGTCAAGCAAAATCTTTGAAATTTATATTCATGATCATAGTCTCTTACCACAAAAATGGCTGCATGTGCAACAATACCAACTATGAGAAACCCACCGATCCACATGTGATGGGTAAACAATGAAAGTTGTGTACCATAGTGAATAACTAGGTATGGATAGGGGGGCATAGAATACATATGGTGAGCTACAACAATAGTTGAAGAGCCTAACATAGCTAGATTAAGAGATAATTGAGCATGCCATGACAATGTTAAGATTTCATAGAGGCCCTTATGACCCTAGCCTGTAAATGGTCCTTTTTGCGCCTCTAAAATATCTTTAAGGCCATGACCAATACCCCAGTTAGTCCTATACATATGCTCGGCGATCAAGAGCCTCTAAAATATCTTTAAGGCCATGACCAATACCCCAGTTAGTCCTATACATATGCTCGGCGATCAAGAAAAGAATTGCAATAGCTAAATAATGATGAGCAATATCGCTCAGCCATAAACCTCCTGTTACTGGATCTAATCCTCCATGAAAACTCAAAAAATCCGAGTATTTTGACCAATTCAAGGTGAAAAAGGGGTTGCTCCCTCAGCAAAACTGGGATAAAGTTGAGCCAGTTGGACCAAAAGATCCCGATTTAAGATAAATTCATGAGGAAGTAGGAATTCTTTAGGATCAACTCCAACGTTGAGAAATTGGTTAATTGGTAAAGATACATGGATTTGATGTCCCGCCCAAGAGAGAGACCCGAGTCCTAGTAACCCTGCTAAGTGGTGATTCAACATAGATTCTACATCTTGGAACCAAGCCAATTTTGGAGTCCTAGTAACCCTGCTAAGTGGTGATTCAACATAGATTCTACATCTTGGAACCAAGCCAATTTTGAGGCGGCTTTGTGATAATGGAACCAACCGGCAAAAAACATTTACGATGCAAAGACCAATGCATCAACTACGGTACAATAGAGTTGTAATTCACTAGTTGTATTTAATAGGTTGTTTCTTTGAGATACGTTTGTCCCATTTCAAGCAGAACAACTTAAATTGCCTATCTAGAGATCACATGCTATTTCAACCTCATAATAGTATGTATAACTGCTTGACAATGTGCAATTTTGACTTTTGGTTTGTCATTTAATATCTTATGTGTTGTTTGGCAACGGTTTAACTAAATGGTTCAGGATAGTTTACCCATTCTTAACCTGCTAGATACAAAATATAAAAGGGAATAAAGTGAGATAATCCCTCTTAGTTCTCCTAATACAAAAATTACGAAAGGGTTGTGTTAACCCCTTTAGAGGGGGATAAAATGAGTCAACCCCTCTTGATGAGGGGCTTACTAATCCATCCTTTTGGAGGGATTAAGAGGTAATCTCTCTGTTCATAAACAAAGGAGGATTAATCCTCCTTATTTTCCAAACACTAAAAAACCAATATTAAAATAATCACCTTAACGTGTGAAATAATCTGACCTCACGGACTAACAAAAAGGCAAACTAGGTTAACTGTCCGCCATAATCCTTTGTAATTAAACCTTTGCCAACTCCCAGATGGGAGAATCTTAGTGATGCCTACATGTGTACATGGTGATGCCATCTTCTGAATCTTATTTACTACGCTATTCTTGGAATTTATTCTTGCGTACTTTCATTTAGCAAAACCTAAGTGATCTCTTGTATGGAAATTACATGGCTGGAACACTACGTGGCCCTAGTGGTTATCATCAACAGACAATTAAGATCGCTCCGAGAGAGCTTATTATAATAGCTGCTGTCAAGTTCGTGCAGATGCTGGTATTGCTATTTATGTTTGAATGTTCTAACTTAGTTTTATGTATCCTCTGATTTTATGCGTAAAGGTTATTTTAAGTTTTTAACTGGTTCATGTTTTACTAAATCACAGCATTCTGAAAAGCCCACATGAATAACTATAGATCATTTCATTTTTATGTTCTTTATATTCCTTTTATTGTCACATGTTGATCAGTAATAATTCTAGTACTATGACTAACAATGATAATGATATATTTTTGATTGACTGTTAATTCAATGGTTTTGGTTGTCTGAATCTGTAATTATCTACTTATCAAATTTTATAGCTGGGGATAATTATAGAAAACCCCCATGAACTTTTGCGGAGTTGCTGGAAATCCCCATCAACTTTTTTCTTTAGTACATTAAAACCCAGTAACTTTAGGAGTTGTTGCACATAACGCCCATAAATTGTTTTATTTCATTAAATTTGGCATGAATTTGTTTTCAATAAATCTCCAAATTGGCACCATCGATTCTAACATCTCATGTGGCAAGCATGTTCTTGGGAAAAAAAAAGACCTTCAGGAGTTGTTGCACATAAACCCCATAAATTGTTTTATTTCATTAAAATTGACATGAAAGTTCTCATTTAATCTCCAAATTAGCACCATCGATTCTAACATCTCATGTGACAGACATTCTAGAATAGAAAGATAAAAATAATTCCTTAGTCCTAAAATTTGCCTATTCTTTCTTTTTATAAAAAGGTGTTTTTGGGACTAAGAAGGAATTTTTCATCTTCTTTTTTTTGTCCTGTGCTTACTAGTGACACGCTAGAGTTGATGGTGCTAGTATGAGGATTCAAAGATAAATTTTCAGGTAAGATATCTTGAAATAAAACAGCTCATGGGGGTTACATGCAACAGCTCCTAAAGTTCAGGGGGTTTAGTCTAATAAAAAATTGATGGGGGTTTACTGCAACTCCCCAAAAGTTCTAGGGGTTAATGTAATTAACCCTTTATAGCTGTATTGGTTACTTCTAATAATTAGAACCTCCTACGATATATCTTTGTCTTTCTCAATCCTGATATTCAACATGGTTTACTATCTTTTGGTTATACAAGTACAAGTTCTTCAGGATGCAGTATGTTATACACTATCTCTTGGTGTAATTAATTTTATTTAATTTGGTTAATGTTTCTGAGCTGCTGCTCCTTTCTATTAGATTTGGCCTCTAAGCATATGATGGGAACTAGTGACCTCTTCTAGCAAAAGAGGATTAGTTTTCATTTTATTGAGGTTCTTATTGTAATATTGTCCTTCATATTTAATGATTTTGTTGAATGAGTACAATCTTTCCTTGTATTACTTAAGAGTACAAGTTGAAATTCCTATCTGGAGAAAATTAGGATTTAAGATTGGATAGAATAGGAATTTCAGTTACAATTTGAGGCCTTTCAAAATCAATACTACATAGTATTTTACCTGTTTCTGTGTTGGAAATTCGAAATCAATTAGCTGGTGCCTTGCAGATCAATTCATCTATGTATGTCCAGCATCAGATCAACATTTCCGTGAGATATTTATGTAAAAGGACGTCTCAAATTTGAGTTTTCAACCTGTTCTGCGTTGATCTTTTGGTTGAGATCGTCAGTTATGATTTAGAGAATTGCTAATGATGTTCGTTATGGTAAAGTTTCAGTGTCCAAAAAATGCATACGGATCTTTCTAGAGCTTCTCATCATTTATTTGGTATGCGAGAAGCGCAACTATATTTTAAAGCTTTCTCATTCAGTTTATTTGTTCTTTGGTTTTGATTCGCTTGAGCAGGTGCATTCTTGTGGTTGAGCTTTTTCAGAAATTTCTTTAGATCTCTCCTTTATATTCCCTTCTTTGAACACTACTTGCTTCTTAGGTTACCCATACGTTGTAATCCTGCTTTAGAAGTAATCTGGAGCCCAGCATTATAAATCAAGTAGCTAATTGTTTAAAATATCGCGTAGTTGTTTATGGTGGTAAACTCATTTTTACTTGGTTGTTTTTGGACTCCGTCATGATTTGCAGGCATGATTGAAGTTACTAATTTGATTAGATTAGTTGGTTATATTTGAGATTATAGGCTTGTGGCTGGTTGGCTTGTCACAAATTTTTTTGTTTTTCGGCTAAAAGTTTGTCAAATGCTACGGAGGATCAGACTTAATTGGTAATAGAGGTTTCTAGTTTTGCAAAGCCTAGTATGGAGTTGTTCCTCGTGTAGGAGGCTTATAGACTGGTAACTGTTGTGACAATTCATTGCATCTTGGGCCTTGGTCATTATTTGCTTATAATAACTATGTTATATTAAGAACCTTCATTTGTGTTTGACAAGTGTCCTAATGCCTCTTAGGAGTCAGGTCTTACTCTTTTTTATTTTAGTTTATTAAATCATCTCATCATTATATTATTGTGCTTGTGCAGTATATTCCTGGTACCAAGATGGTTTTCCCTGGTTTGAAGAAGCCGCAAGATCGAGCAGATCTCATTGCCTATCTCAAGGAGTCTACTGCTTAAGAATGAGCCCTATTACTATCTTCATGGTGTTGGAGCATATTATTCTTTTTTTGCTTAAATAAAATTTTAAAACCCTAAAGGTCCACCCTGCTTGTCGGATGATTCAAGCCGCAGAAACAGGGAAAAACAATTTCCCCCCCTCATTTATCAACGATATCATGTTTTTTAATGTGGTTGTTTTCCCACATATTCATTTTGTCTGTTAAAACACTTCATTTTGATGTTAAACAGTTGATTCTTGACAGTTTATTGAATTCTCCAGTCATTTCAGTTTCGATCCTTGTGTACTTTGCATCTACGTATCTGTCTGTCGTCTTCATATCTGCATCAGTTTCAGATCGCTCTTCTGTTTACTTCTTTGGCTTCTTTAATTACACTGCTCTTTCACCAATTACAGAGAACTTTTCTGTAATTGGTGCCCCCTGCATACTAGTTTTCTGTATCTGTTCATTGTTATGTTGAAACAACTGAAAGATTGTTGCGAATGTAGTTCTTAGTAGGCGTCTTCTGTTGCATCAAATACATTGGGGGCGTTAGGTGTCGTCGTGTTCCCTAATCCAGTAGGCTACTTTTCTTACGTCACCACTTCCTTAGTTTGCATCAAAATCATAGTTATGGTGGGATGCTGATTTAAGTAACCGAGCGTTGTCCAGGCTTCGGGTTAGTTCATAGTTTTATAGTTCTACCTGCTCATGTGAAAATTGTGGTTAATGCTGTTAGGGAGTTCTTTTTTTAAATAAAGGGTGTATTTTAAAAAATAAAAATAAAAGGGCGTGGGGGTGGAGGTCATAAATGCTGAAAGTTGAGCGCGGTTTTCTGAGAACTTCAAAAGTGTTCGTTGGGGAGGGATCAGGCCTGTCGCTGACGATGAGGCAGCCCTTGAGATGTTTAGTGATTCTCTGTTCTTTATTAAGTTTGGTACAGAATGGTGAAGTTCTTTGTTTGGTTTGGAGCGCAATTTAAATCTGGACGAATTGCTAGTGGTGATAAATGGGTCAGGTTAGCTCATCGTTCAAAGATTGAGCCCAGGGTGCTCGAACCAATAACTAGCTAATGCAGGGATGAGCAGACGATCAGTTTGGTTGGTTTTGGTCAATTTTGGTCGAACTGAACTGAACTGAACTAGCTTATGATGGGAACTAAACTGTTTTGGTTAGTTTCAGTTTGGTTCGGTTTGATTGGTTTGAGTCTGGCTCGACTAAATTTTCCTTAGGCAGAAAAGTGACCTCTAAAGGGGTCCACTTTTGGACAACCCGACTGGTTTAAAGTTGGTTTGGTTTAGAATTGAACTAGGTTATGATTAGTTCTGGCTTAACCGTTACCAACACACCCCTGAAAGAGAGTGAAATATAAACACTGATATACAAGATGAATTATCTGTTCAGGTTGATTATTTAGCCACAAACTGAACTGTTGAAAATAGGAACATTCAACTGATTTAATCAGCTCAGATAATTAATGCTCCCCCACTAATAAAAGCTTAAGTTGACAATGTGTAAAAAATTATAGGACCATTGACGCGCAAAATAGAACAGTTAATTATTCAATGGTAAAGTTTTCCCTAGCCATTTGGTCTTAAGATTAAAAGCGTTCACTTACACCATGTTTGGATGGATGCTAATGAGAGAGGGAAGGGTTAACAAAGTTTGGGAGTTTTTTGAGAAAGACGCGTTATTGAAGGGAGGAAAGTTGAAGTAGGTTAAAATTTCACCTCCAATCACGATTTTTGTTCCTCCCCCGAATAGGGGTGTAATAAAAGTAGGGCTGGCAATGGTACACAATTCCATTCCAACCAATTCATGTACCAACCGTACCAAATATGTTGGTATACCATCAAATCAGTACACGGTACACGGTACAGTATATCGTACCAGCTTCAAAATATGGTACGGTAGGTGGTACACATTTTCCCTCTACCATGGTATACCGTACCTACCAACTTATACTATATTAAATTATTATATATATATATATAATAGATATATATCCTTAAATCTCAACCATAGATTTAGGGAAATAAATCTCAACCTTCAATTTTTTGTAACCCTAATCTAATCTCTCTCAGTCTCAGCCTCCTACTCTCACTCTCAGTCTCAGGAAGTCACCAGGCGCCGCACCACACTCTCCTCTCCCCTCCCCCTTCCGAAACCCCATTTTTTTCTTCGCTAAAAAATTCTCAATCTCCGCTCAATTCTCGACGAAGGGCTCGACATTTGGAAGCTTGGAGCAAACAAAGGTCTTGTTTCATTTCAAAAGCTCAATTCTCGACGAAGGGCTCGACATTTGGAAGCTTGGAGCAAACAAAGGTCTTGTTTCATTTCAAAACCCTTTTCTCCTCATTTGTAATTTCGAATGGGTTTCATTTCATTTCAAAACCCTTCTCGTAATTTCGAAAGGGTTTCATTTCAAAACCCTAAACCCATATGGTAATTTCGTGTTTTATACTTTTATTTCATGTATTTGTATTTTTCTTGCTTATTTCCCTATTTTGGGCCTTATTTTCGACATGCATTGAGGTTTGTTTTCAGAAATGTGGGTAAATAGTTCCTTAAATTTGCTATTGTATTTGTTTTACTAGGTCTAGGACTGTGAATCTGTTATACGAGAGAAACCCATTTGAGGATTTTTATGATTTGATTTGATTTTAGAGGAGTTGTAATCATTCTAGTTAGTAGAAAATAACCATGCTTTCCTATTAATGATCGTGAATCTGTATATTATCTGAAATGGCAGCCCAAATACAAAAAATTGTATATATTAATGGAAGTGAATATGTACTATTAATGGAACTGACTAGAAACCCATTAATCTTTTTATTATATTGCCTTCACGTTAAGCTTGCGTATATATGAAACTGACCGCTAAGAAAAGGCATGTACATATTAATGGAAGGGAAACTCAAGGACTGCATGCTTCTCGTTTTGCCTTCACACAAGTCTTGCACTGTACCACTACCAAACTCAGTTGCTACAAATATTTAGGAACAGAGGATATTACATCTTCAAGGCATCAAGACAAATATTTAGGAACAAAGGAGTCATTCTGCTAATAGCTTTGGTACCAGGTAACTAATTACTTCGATCAATAATTTAAGCTTAACTAATTACTTCAATCAATAATTTCTAGTCAGTTCCATTAATATGGGTTTCTAGTCAGTTCCATTAACATGAATCTGTAATCATTCTAGTCAGTTCCATTAATATGTACATGATTATCAGTCTCTTCCAACCTCTTTATAGTTTTCCTTTTGAACTTTATATGCTTCACCTTATTAATGAATTTGTACATTATCAACCTATTAATGACTGTGAATCTGTGAATCTGTACATTATCAGTCTCTTCCAACCTCTTTATAGTTTTCCTTTTGAACTTATATGCTTGCCTATTAATGATTGTGAATCTGTACATAATCATTTCAAAACCGTAGTTTTCTTTTTTCTGAAATTAAGGGATATAGACTGTATGATTGTAATTCCTCTATTATTGTGTTGCGTGATTGTAATGCCTCAATGATTAAAAATAGATAGACTGTATGTATATCATAATGGAATCAGTTTTCTCTTTTGTGAACTTTGTAATTGATGTTTTATTCTTGTTCCATTGTAGGCAATGGATTCTTTTATGTCACAAAGTGGTACTGTGGGCTATTCAAGCTCAACACCATCAGTTCCATCCAGTGCAAATACAGAGACCACTGCCGGTTTACATGCTGCACCTCTGCCACCTTTGCCACCAACTGAAGGGACTCATGAAGGCATCCAGTCTCGGAAGAGAAAAGATCCCTCAAACAAGAGCAAGATGTGGCGGTACTTTACCAGGTGTAAACTTCCTGATGGTCAAATTGATCCTAAATATTGCACCTGCAACTATTGTCACGAAAGAATGTTGTGCCTCACAGAGAAGAATAGGACTAGCTCCATGTTGTATCATAGCAAGGGATGTGAGAAGCACCCCTGTTGACTGAGTCGAGATAATGTGAGTGGAGGCACTGGATACCGGAGGTGAAACAAGAAAAGGTGTGATGATAAGTGTATTGAGATGATCATCAAGGATGAGCTTCCATTTCGGTTTGTGGAGAGGGAGGGATTTAGGGCTTTATGCAATGAGTTGGAACCACAATGGACAGTCCTGGACAGGAAGCAAGTTGCTAAGGGCGTGCTAGAAAAGTTCAACTTGGAGAAGTCTATGCTGTTGAGTCAGCTTAAGAGGAGTGACACAAGAGTCTCTATCACCACCGACACTTGGATATCGATTCAAAATATTAATTACATGGTGGTGACTGCACATTTTTTGGACCACGATTGGGTGCTACACAAAAGGATCATTAACTTTTGCAATATTACTAGTCACAAAGGTGAGGACATTGGGAGAACACTTGAGCAGTGTTTGAGACAATGGGAGATCAACAAAGTGTTTACTATTACAGTAGACAATGCTAGTGCAAATGACGTGGCTGTCCAATATATGAAGAGGAGGCTTACTAGTTACCAGACCTTAATGTTTAAGGGAGAGTATCTACATTTAAGATGTGGTTGTCACATTATCAACTTGATTGTGAAGGACGGTTTGAAGGAGTTAGAGAGTGGGATTGCTTCCATTTGGAATTGTGCCAAATATGTGAGGAGTTCATCGCAAAGACTTGACAAGTTTAGGGAGTTTGTAATTCTAGAACAGTGCAAGGCAAATGCCAATGTCCCGTTAGATGTTATTATAAGATGGAACAACACATATCTTATGCTTGAAGTTGCATTGAAGTATGAGTTGACGTTTAACCGAATGTGTGAAGAGGATGAGGCGTTCAAGATCTACTTTGCGGACAAAGTTGGACCTCCAACTTCTGAAAATTGGAGGTATGCAGCAGCATTTTATGTGTTTTTGAAGAAGTTTTATGTTGCAACCTTAAGACTTTGTGCTTGGAAATCAATCACTTCAAATGTATTGTTTGTGGAGATGATCACCTTGCAATGTGAGATCAACAAGGCTTGCATTTCAGAAGATCCTGTTATGAAGAAAGTCGCAGCCTCAATGAAGACAAAATTTGACAAGTATTAGGGCAGCTTTGAGTCTATCAACAAGATTGTTTTGATAGCGAATGTGTTGGACCCGAGGTACAAGCTTCAATGGGCTAAAATGGCTATGAAAAAGATTAATGCAAGCCCAAATACAATCCAGTCGATAGAAGAGGATTTAAAGAAAATTTTGATGAAGATGTATGAAGGGTATAAAGGCTGTGAGGGCATGGAGCAAGCTGAGCAGCCTCTCGAAGATGATTTAG